ATCAAAAATACTGTAAGTAAAAGTAGTCATAAAAAGGGCAATAGCAGCCCAAACATAATTATAAATCCTGATGCTAAGTTTCTGAATTAAATGCAGAAAATAGAGTTCAACTCTACATTAAAATAATAATATACGATGACCAAATGTAACCAGAAATGCAAAGAATGATCCAATATTAAAAAATCTTTTTAATGCATTTCACTGTGTTAGTAGGTCAAAGAAAAAAAAATACGAGCATCTTAATAGATGCCAAAAATGCATTTGATTAAATTTAATATCTATTCCTGATTTCTTTTAAAGGATGAGTTGGACTTCCTTGACATGATCTCATTTCCAAATGATGAAACATCTGAAGTATTTAAAGTAAGATCAGGAAAAAGACTATCGAGGGAGTATTTAAGGAATCATATACAGTAGTTAACACTAAAATAATGTATCCTAATAGTACTTAAATTAACATTAGATCCTTTATTATGCTGATGAAGAAACCTGAAAAATGTGTTACAATTTGTCAACTGTTTTGCAAACTGATGAAGCTAAGAAATCTTGGAAGAGCGATATGATATAATGCAAAACACATGAGTTGGACCAAAACCAGAATCCAGAATCAGAATACTAATTCTGCCATTTTTGTTATTTGACCATAGCATTTAACCATCAAATAGCAAAAATTATCTAAACTCAGATTCTTAGTGCCCTTATCTGTATAATGGAAGGAACAGCAGGTAAGATGGAATAAGTATGCTACTGGCTATCACTCCTGGTGATTATTAGAAAAACTCTGGACAAAATAAACACATAAGGATTTTGAAAAGTAAGCAAAGCAGATGAATTGGGAAGGGTAGTAAAAATCTGGAGAGGTAACCCAGAAAAGGATGGATTCCACACTTCTCCCCGTCTTTTCTTTCATGGCTTTGACCTGAGGATGAGTCTCAGTCACATGGTACTGGCCTGGGAAATCACCACATCTTGGGGCCCTGGGAAAGGGGCCCCTGTAGTTCAAAGAATGTGGAGAGAATCCCCACTTTCACTTCTCTTTGATTACGCCTGCCTTTGCCCCACAAGTGACCTTGACAGAGAACTGCACAAGGCAACACAGTGGCCAAACCCCAAGCAAAACACCATTTTTCTTGCTAGAGGACTTGCAAAGGGTGGCGCCAGTGGGAAACATAGTGTGTGGAGAAACCTGCAGCAGAGAGAGCTGGAGAAGGGAGTCCCAGTAACTGTGTGATTGAAGCTGTCTGTGTAAGTCCCGGCTTCATCTCTGAGCTGCACGTGCGTAGGACAGGCTCGAAACAGCTTAGCAAAGATGTTGAAAACTGAACTGAAATAAAAACCACCATCCACAGAAGAGACAGAACTTGTGGTTTGAACCTCGTGCACACAGAGAAGAAAGACTTCTATTCTCCAGAGGATTTGAAGGTGACCTAAGAGTCTGAACAAATGAATTCTAAAAACTTCTAGGATATATTCTAAAATTACTCGACATACAAAGCACCTGGAAAATGTGACCCATTCTCATGAGAGAAGGCAATGAAGATGCCAATCCTGAGCTTACAGAATGGTCAGACACAGCATTTAAAGCATATAAATATGCTTTATGTATTTGTTTTATATTATTTATATATGATATTTAATTATATTCTGTGATATAGTTAATCCCATAATTTATTTCATATGTACTCTCATATATTTAATATTATATAAAATATATTTCATTATGTCATATCTTATATACTTATATATATTATACATTTAAATATGTATATATGTATTTCATAACTATACTCCATGAGGTGAAGGTAAATACACTTAAAATAAATGAAAATATAGATGATCTCAGGAGAGGAATAAAAATTTTAAAAAGAACAAAATAGATATTTTAGTCCTGAAAGTCACAGTATCTGCAAAAAAAATTCAGTGGATGAGTTCAATGGCAGGATGGGGAAAGCAGAGGAAGGAGTCAGTGAACATGAAGATAGATCAATAGGAATGATCTAATCCAAAAAAAGGAAAGAGGAAAAATTGGAAAAGAACTGAACAGACCTTCAGGCACATGTGGAATCATATCAAAAGGTCTAATATCTTTGTCATTGGAATCCCAGAAGGAGAGGAGAAAATGACTGGTACAGAAAAAATAGTTTAGAGAGAGGGCTGCCAATTCCTGAAATTTGGTAAAAGACAAATTTATAGATTCGAGAAGCTCAGCAAAGCCAAAATAAGATAAACCAAAAAAAAAAAACCCATCCCTCAACAGATCCTAGCCAACCTGCTGAGAGCTAAAGATCTTGAAAGCAGGTAGTGAAAAATGGCATATTCCATATTAAACAATGAGACCCCGTAGGAAATTGAAGTTATAATGGTTATATGGGGACATGTGAGAAATGATATGTAAGGTTCTTAACAAATAAAAGACACAAATGGTAGGTATTCTTCTCCTTCCTCTTTTATAAAAGATTTTCTTTATTTATTCATGAGAGAGGCAGAGACACAGAGGGAGAAGCAGGTTCCCTGCAGGGAGCTCAATGCAGGACTTGATCCGGGACCCCGGGATCATGCCCTGAGCCGAGCCGAAGGCAGATGCTCAACCACTGAGCCCCCCAGGCGTCCCTGTAGATATTATTATTCTGATTGTAGTTTCTTTACTACATCTCAACACACCATATTTATTTTCTGTTCTATTTTTTCAAGCTTCCTGCGGTTTCCTTTATGTGGGTTTGATTCCAAAAGCTGGATGCAAATATCCCTTTGATAGTATTTCTTTTGGTTTACCCACAATCTTTTGGTCTTGTTGAAATGAGAGTTCCCTATGGATTCATGACCTGTTTTTGAATGTGTTTTTCAACTTAACGCGGTGTCCTCGCTTATTACATCTGTACAGTAATGCATCTTTTCCTATCTCCTAGGGATATTGGGACGATCAAATGAGATATGGGGAAAAAAAACATAAGGATTCTTGTGACCAACTAAAACACTGGGAGTCCTACCTTTCAGAAATAGTATCAACCTGGAAGCTGTCAAAGCCTAATTCGTTTAGCCAATCTCATGAGAAAGCGTTCGGCAGTGGGAAGGCTTGTCCACATTTCTCCCTAGGCTGATAAGGTTGGGGATGGGTCAGTAAACTACTCATGCTTTGCCGGCCGACCCAGAGGTTAGGCCAAGAGTCACCATGTGAAACCCATACAGCCTTTAGCAAGGCATTTTGGGCTGTCTGAAGCATACTTAGCCCTTACGTATTAAATGCTGCTTCCAGCAAAGTCGAGATTCTAACCTCGCTTCTCCCTGGTAGGGGAACTAGGAGGAGTGAAGTCAAGACATACAACCTCAGATTCAAAGTAGGATTCAGATGACTAATTTGAACTAGCGTAACCAAAACGAGTCTGAAAGCCTAGGCCTTTGAACAGTGTTTATAAATCCGTGACCCCCTCTGCCCTCCCCACTTCCCAGAGGCCGGGAGCAGTAGCACACAAAATACCCACAAGGGATATGAGACCTAGGTCTCCGGGCCAAACTCAAGCACGCAGCCAGCGGAGTCCGCAGGAAGCAACACCAGGCAGCCTGGGCTGTAGGAGGATGTGAAGATGGGAGAGAGGGTTTTGTCTGAACGGGAGGCACCTCTGCATAAAGGATGTCATGCAAAGACAGAGGGAGAGCAGGAGTCTCGCAGAGAGGCCCTAAGCCAGAGACACTTTCTCAGAGCTTCTTAAAATCCTTGGCCAGTATTGAAGGAAACTCTCGAGTTTCTTGGGCTTTCTGACTCTCCGTGTACCAGAACGCAGCACGGTGCAGTCGAAAGGCCCTGGAGCCTGCAGCCCCTGTGGGTTTGCACGCTACCCTTAGGATCACCATGCGGCCTCAGCGTCTCCTTCTGCTAGTAGGAAATAAGAAACCCCTATTTTTAAAATGAGGTTTCTGTGCATCTCAACAGCGTGCATGAATAACAGGCCCTGCCGAAGGAGAAGCAGAACTTGGAGACTTCTGCGTGGTACCGAGTACTTTTGTAGTTACACACGGACAACAGAAGACGTGGAGAAACACGGGGACAGGCTCAGCTCTGCTGTTTGGTACAAAATCCAGAGCACCTTCCTCCTTGCTATTGGTCCTCTCCGGAGGAAGACTATAGAATAACGTCCCCCAGTCCTCCCTATGCTTGCTCTTCCTCCTTTCCTCTTCCCTACGCGTCCATCCATAAGACTGCCAACGGTCCCATGTGTGTCCCCCACCCCGCCCCCGGTGTTTCTCTCATGTCATCAGAGGCCTTTAAAAAAAGTGCACGAAGTGTCCTTAACTCAGGAAAACTGTTACCTCCACTCCCAATACACCATCCTAACTCTGAACAAATGGCATGTCTCTATTTCTGCTAGTTTTCACGGGAAAGTGGTAAAATCCAAAATAATACTTTTGTTAAGCTAGGTCTCAGTAATCCTTTTCATGTCAACAACATTTTTCCACACCTGATTCAAATTTCCTTTTATTCCATGGTCCTGTCCACGGAAGGACAGGCTGTCCTGTCCTGGCTCTTAAGCACCATATTATCCCTCCCTTTCTATTCCCTGCCTCCGTGTAATTATGTATGGTAATATTACAAGTTCCTAAAAAAAAAAAAAAAATTACAAGTTCCTACTTCTCTCACACCATGCTTATTGTATCTCTGAAACCTTACCCCACAAAATAAATCTAATGTAAATAAGAGAAAATATAATCCCCCAGGAATTGCTCTGGCTCACACTTTGCTCCAAGGTAGCACACTGAGTTGCCAATCAAAGTAAGATTTATACCTCAAGGTGATTGAGTCATTTGCGGAATTTCACAACATCAGGAAATCCTATCAGTCATCACGGAGTAAAGTAGCCGATGGGTCAATGGGCAACGTGCAAGGCTTAGGTGAGGAGAGAACCGCAAGATTTAGGACGACGTCGGGGCCGGTCTTGGGGCCCAAATATCAGCACTACTCAAGGGACCGTGGGCCTGCTAATGACAGGGAAGGGGAGCGTCCTTACCGGTCTTCGGTCAGCTTCATGAGGGTTGTTCCTCGCGTAGAGAAGACAATAAAGGACATTCTTAGCTGTGGGCTGGGAAGGAAAAGAAATCCTATTAGGGCAGGTGGACTCTGGATGCCATTTCCCTCCAGTCATCCTCCCCGTCTCCCCTTCGGCGTCCCGGCTGCGGGAGATGGGGACCTCCAGGCCGAAGGGCCTCCGCAGCTGGTGCCCCGAGTCCTCAGCAGCAGTGACTGGAGACTGTGGACAAGGGGGGCCGCGCCACCTTCGCCAGGGCAGAGCACGGGTGGGAGAGCAAAAATGCATCGCTGCCTGCGCTCTGCCTCAAGAGGTGTGTCCCTAGAAGCGGCCTGGTCTGCATGGCACTTATAAAAGGGGGGCCCCGATAGATAAAATGTCCCCCTGGCCCCTGGGTGGACCCCGACAGGGGAGCAGCTGAGCTGACAGCGGCCGGATGCCACTGGCCATTAAGATCATACTAGGAACTGCCTTTGCTCTGAAAGCGGCATCTCTTCTGGACGGTCCACTCTCCTTGGTTTCCCAGGGAGGTCATCCTGTAAGGAGAGAACGTGCTGCTGGGCCGCAGAATATCCACCCGCCCGGCGGTCACGCTTACAGTACTCGTGAACCCAGAGGCAGGGGTGTGGATGGAGCGCTCGGGAGCGCCGTCCACGAAAACCCCACACTGTGGAAGACAGAACCACCCTCATCTGGGGACCAAACGTGCTCCTCTGTCTTCAAGATGGGCTGGCAGAAATAACAAACACAACGCAAACGTTTGAAAAAAAGAAAGAAAAGACGGACTATCAGAGTGTAGTGGGCTCGCCAGTAGACCGCTGTCCATCAGGGGCTCTTTGTGGGGCCAGCCGGTTCCTCTGTCACAACGTGAACCTGTGTCTTTGCCATCCCTGATCTGGCCCCGTAGCTTATAGTTCCCACTTCCTCTGATGTTTCTCAAACCTGCCCCCCTTTTCTATTTCTTAGCTTAGGACCTAGCCCTCAACGATCAGACCGCTGCAACTGTTCCCTAGCTGGGGATCTTGCTGGCCATCTTCCTTCGCTCCAATTCATTCTTCCCACTGCTTCCAGAACTGTTTTCCCAAAATGTAAATCAGACCTGTCACTCACCTGCTATAAAATCTCCAACGGCTTCTACTGCCTCTAGGATCAAGTCTACACTCATTTCCTTATGTCTGATGCATCTTTGGAAATGCTTATCATGGCGCTTACTACTTGCCAAGAGCCCAAGCAGTAGGTGGTGAATTGAATGTTGGTCTCCTGAAACAGACCTGGGCTCTCTGGCCAGGACACCATTCTGTCCCTTACCACTCACTGCTGCTAATTAGCAAAACACCATGTCCTAAACGATAATAATGCCCATCGCAATTACCACAGTAACCAACCTTATCAAGTGCTTACTACATGCCAGGCACTGTTGTGAGTGACTGGCGTGTGGTATCTCATGAAACTTGTAACAGCTTTATGAGATCAGTACTATTATTATTTCTATCTTCCATGAAAGGAAATTGAGACCCTGAAGGATCAAGTAATTTCCACAAGGTCACAGAGTGAGAGAATAGTGGATCTGGGGCTTAAAACCAAGCTCTGATTCTGGAACTTGGGCTCTTAAGCACCATAGTATCCTGCTTCCTTTGTATATAGTTCAGCTCTGGAAAAAAATGAATCTGACATGTGGGACACGTAGGGCTCTAAGAGGCAATTGGTATATTCCGTATAGGAGTCTTGGCAAGAGATCTAATTAGGGGGTTTTCAGCACATTGATGCGAGCGGAATTGTTCTAAGATAGTGTCAGCAGTGGGAAGGGAAGGGTGCCCCATCTAGAACCAACGCCAACATTTAAAGACCCGGCTCTGGTCAGCGGGTCTCCTCCAGAAGCCAGTGGAGAAGCGAATTTCAAGGAGCGAGAACTCTCCTTCCCTCAAGTGAAGCTCCTGTATCCAGCAGAGTAAGCACTGCCAGACGCTCACTGTCTTTGTCCTCCTTAGGGCATCACTTAAGGGCTTTGGTGAGAACCAGCAGGTGGGGGGTGGGATGGAAGCCAGATGGTTTGATGGTTAAGGAATGAATGATAAAAGTAAGGATATGGAGACCTTGAATCTTTAACGATATTTGAGTAAGAAACCAGTAAGAAATAGTTATCTATAGTATCTATAGAGTATGTATATACAGAGTATATAGAGAGAGTATATACTATATATCTATAGTATCTCCTGACATAATCAGGAGATTTATTATTTACTATTTGGGGCTTTTTTTTTTAAGACATGGGGCAGAAGAGATTTGTTTATGTCTATTGATGTGGAAATAGAGCCAGAGGAAAGGTAGAGAAAAAGTACAAGAGAGAAAGAGACCTGGAGGAGATTGGAGACAATGGGATAAAATGGACTAAAATGGAGGGGTCACCTTCAAAGGGAGGATATTTGAATCTCAGAGACACTGGGAAGGACACATATGCACCTTTTTAAGTAGGACTGGAACTTGAGGATATCACTTTTCTGCTATTCCCAGGGTCCTTGGTGAAATAGGAGGTGAAATTCTTTGCCGAAAGTGATGGGTGAGAGGTGTGGGTTGGGGTCTTGAAGGAAACAGTGAAGAGTTAACATCATTGTTAGGAAATTGGGAGGGGATCAGAATAAAGACAAATAAAAGAACTTGAAATTTCCAGGATCCCACTAAAATTGGAAATGGTAATATTTGTACTGGCATCAGCCACTGTTATTAAGTAAATAGCCCCCCTGCAGTGTCCGCTGCCTAGACTATTTACTTAAATGACTAAATAAAAATAATCGATTCCTTTTCAAAGTTTGTCCATTTACTCATAAATATTGAGCATGTGCTACGTGTCAGATACTACTACAGACACTTGGGCTGCAGCAGGCAAAATACAGTTTTACATGACAGTGACGTGATGTCTTGGTGCCACACTTTCAGGGGGTCCGGAGCCAAGAAGGGCCAGAGGAGACCACCAGAGGAAAGTGCCTCGTGGTCTGCATTATGCCATGTCAACTTCTGTACTTCTCAGTTTCATCAATAAAATGAAAGGATTGGGTTAAGCCCCCCCCCCAACCCCCTACTTCTCAGTGTCTTTAATACTCAGATAGTGAGGCATCTGGAATTGCTGAATGAACTGGGAAAGAGAAGTGCTGAGTGGCCACTCTAAGCCAGGTGTGGGGCGAGTTGGTTTGCACAAGCCTGGTCTTCTAAATTTTCTCGTGCAAACCAGGGTTCAACCAAGGCAAGTCAATTGCTATGGTTGCACAATGGAGCTTGGCTTCAAATCCACACCTGCCTAACTTCAAAGCCTTTCCCAGTAGACTCTTCACAAAGAACAGAAGGCCAGAGGAGCAAATAGAGACATAGCAGATACTGTCAAGTGTCCAGAGGCAGGTTTGTTCAGCAATCAAAAGGGCAGAATGGATATAATGGACGAGAGTATAGGAAAGGACACGCTGGCTCAATGACAAAGAGACTTTTCTGGAAACTGGAATGGTCTGACTATTGGACCATTGGCCTCCAAAGACAGCAGTTTCTCACCAGAGCTATTCAAGTTGAGGGTAGCGAACACCTCTTAGGATAGCTTGGGAAGTTGGTGCTTTGAATTCTAAGCTTCTACAATTCTCTCAAATACTTTGCTTTTAATATGACCCATGTATTTGCTTCTTACTTCCTTTCCCCCTCTCTCCTCTCAGCATCTGCTTTTCCCATTCATTTGGGTTTAGATGCTTCCTGCTTGCAGCTTCCAATATTTGGCATCACAGAGAGGTCACCTCCTAACCCTTTCCCTCCAATCAGGCAGGCAGGAAAGAGACCAGTAACTGAATTCGTAGGGAACGCATTTGTCATTACATTGGTACATTGGTAATGGGGACAACCTGTTTTCTTCTTCCTTTTTTTTTTTTTTTTTTTTGACAACCTCTCTTCTGAGATGAAGAACCTTATTCAAAGGAGTTTATGGTTAACTCACATGGGTTGGAAGACTCTACAGATGCCATGACACAGGAGTGGAGCTGCTTTAGGATTCACAATGATAGGACAATTTTACCAAAGGCCTTGATGACTAGCTTCAAGCACATCCACGGAGCTACAACAGCTGTGTCATCGCTTGGAGGCTGTAACCAAGGAGGGTGAAGTGACCTTCTTTCCTTTACTAGAGGGCATCTATAGCTACTGGAAAGTAGGAGCTCCAAGGCTCTGCAACCTTTGTAGCGATGATGTTCAAAACTGCATTCTCCTCCCTTGGAAAGTGGTGTCAAGAATACTCAGGGAATTCTATCTGATGGGACATACAGGTAAGCTGGCCAACATGGTAGTTTGCTCAGGACTGAGGAGAACTCTGAGAATGCAAGATTTTTCAGTGCTATAGCCATGAAAGTTCTGGGCAGACTGGGATGAGTTGGTCACCTCATATCCTATACTGTTTACACGAGTCCAATTAGAATAAGTCAACTGGCCTAGAGTGGCGCAGCTCTGTGAAAGGAATGTTAATGAAACTTCTAGAAGACTAGATAGTCCAATAAGAGAGACAGAGGTAAAATTTAGTTCTTATAAGCAAAAGGTATTCTACTATGTGGTAAAGACGAAAGCAAAGCCAAGTCTCTGGTCCAACATGCGAGTCTACGTTTGTGAAAAGGCATGCCCACAGCCCTTAGAAGGATAACAAACTTAGGCCAGTTTGACTCCCGGCAGAGCACTAAACATTCTTTCTCACCTGATGAATTTATGAGCCAACTGTTCCACAAAGTAATAGATTTCATTCCAGTGGTGCAGCACACTTCCTGATCTAGGAAAACAAAAGCAGATGTTACTGAATCAGGTGTTCATTTTTCTTTACCTTGCATCATTTCTCTTTATGTTCTATTATTTTACACCCAATCTATCCATTAACCAGGGTTATTATCAGAAACTTCCATAACTTTGGAAATTATTTGAAAAAAATGTTTAGACTCAATGTTGGAGGTCCTTAAAATTTTAGTAAAGAACTTCCCTTCACTCTACCTTCTGCTCCTTTCACCCGCGCTCCACACACTAATGCAATATATAAATAAATAAATAAGCAAACAAATAAATAAATAAGATCCCTGGGTCCACCCAGATCCACAGGTCAGTTTCGAATCTTTAAGAAACCATTATTTTTGTGCTATGCTATCTAAATTATTCACTGATTAGAGAAGAAAAACAATTCCAATGTATTTAAATGAAATTAGCACAAACTAAATGCCAGAACAAAGATAAACAAATCCCCCTCCTGAAAAAGAATAGAATTTCATTGGTAAATATAGATGCAAAAATCTCTAAATAAAATATTAGCAAAACAAATGCAGCAGGAACCCAAAAGAATGGTAATTAACTAATCGGTGGAGTTTATTTCGGGGATGTATCGATGGTTCAACATTTAACAAGAGCTAATGTAACTAGTCACGCTAATAAGTAAAAGAAGAAAAACTAAACAGCCTTTCATTATATTAAAAAAAGGAATCTTTTTCCTAAAAAGGAGGGAAGCGTTCTCTAGGACCTATGGAATTGTGGAATTTTAGATTTGGAAGGGGGCTTCTTTATCCCCAAGATTGACTTCTGTTTTTACTGATACCATTTATTGCAGCCTCAATTCAGCTTGTAAGTGTTTCCCCTAGACCCATACTCAAGCCACTGCAGCGACGGCGCAGCAGGTTTTTCTATCTTATTCTTCTGTGTAGCTATGAGGCCCCTTTCTTTTTCCTTGAGAATCCGTGTCGGCTGAGCTCTGCGTTTCTGCTTATCATTCTAAGAGTCGTTGAGGTTAAGAGTTTGCATCATCTACTATGAGATTTTGTACAGTTTCCACTGGTTTCAGATTACTTTTTAAAGATGCACTCATTTACCTCAATTTTAACTTCTAAGGAATTGTTGCTGTTTTTTTTCTTTGTTTCAGATTATTTTATAGATGTTTAAGAAGAATCTGTGCAATAGATCTCGTGCCTTCCTTTCCATGGTACAGTATCCCAAGAATTCTCACTCCGATGGAGTGTATACCATCTCTCTAAGAATTTACTTCTCTCTGCCCCACATCCAGAAATGATAGGTCTGTCTGATCCGAGCAAAAGTGACACAACATGTTACAGTCATACAGTGAAAGATTTCGCATCATAAGGCTATCTCACTTTCCCCAACTTAATCCAGAATTTCAATTCTAGGAAATATTCTGAAGGATGTTTTATAAAGCTCAGTGACTTTAAAAATGAAATGAAGATTAAAGGTCTAAAAGTAATCAAGGGAATTGTGAAAAAGAACAATACAGCTGGAAAACTTGCCTTATCAGATATAATGACCCCGTATGCACAATACATAATATAATGGTGGCACCCATGAGATAGAAGAGAGAACCCAAACCTCGATCTACATGGGGTCTTGCTAGTTAGTGAAAAAGGTGATTCAAACGGAGGACAGAGAACTAATCCTTTTATAAATGATGCCGTGACGATGGATTTCTAATTGGAATAAACCAACTAGATCACTGTCTCATACCAAATGTAACCCGAGACGTATTAAAACCTAATGGAGACGGAACATGAAGACTCCTAACTCTGGGAAACGAACTAGGGGTGGTGGAAGGAGAGGTGGGCGGGGGGTGGGGGTGACTGGGTGACGGGCACTGAGGTGGGCACTTGATAGGATGAGCACTGGGTGTTATTCTATATGTTGGCAAATTGAACACCAATAAAAAATAAATTTATAATTAAAAATAAATAAATAAAACCTAAAGGGAGGGGCACCCGGTGGCTCAGTGGTGGAGCATCTGCCTTTGGCTTGGGGGCGTGATCCCGGGGTCCTGGGTCTGAGTCCTGCATTGGGCTCCCTGCATGGAGCCTGCTCCTCCCTCTGCCTGTCTCCGCCTCTCTCTCTCTGTGTCTCTCATGAATAAGTAAATTTTTAAAAAATCTTTAAAACTGTAATGGAAAAAACAAAACTTTAAATCCACTGGGCAAATTATAGAAGGAGACTCAGGTTGTCCTCAGGTTAGTGAAGGGTTTCTCCAGCTAGGTACAGAAAGTAGGAATCATTTTTTATGAAAAGGATAATTTTGACTACATGAAGTATCTACAATTCTGAATGACAAAAGGATGCCATAAACAGGTTCAAAGACAAGAAAAGAGTGAAAGAAGAGGTCTGCAACAAATAAAAAAAGGTGAAAACTTTGTGCCCAGGATATGTAAAGAATTGGCACAAGTGAATATTAAAAGGCAAACAATAGAAAAATAGAAAAGGATCTGAACAAGCAATCCCCCAAAGGATAGTAAATCAGCATTTGAAAAACACTGAACTCTTCTAGTAAATACAGAAATACATATTTAAACCATTGTTTGGGGGAAGAACAAGCAATTTCCTGTGGCAGCAGGATAGAGCCCTGCAGAGTAAGGGGTGGGGAGATGGGCAGATGGGGACAGGGATCCGGGTGAGGAGGGAGGTAGAGACCTCTCCTTCTTAAAAAAATAAACCTTTCCCAATAAACCTTTTCCATTCTGGCCTCTCCGCCTTTACACATATTCCAGCTGCTTGGGACACTCCAAGTCTATGCTCGTAAACTCCTACTCATTCTTCAAGACTCAAAGCAGTCTCTGCCTCTTGGCCTTGGCCAACAGAGATGGGGCTCATTGCCCCTGCCCCATGCTCTCAGGGCACCCCGTCCATCTCAGTCATTATCCTCTGATGTTGGGTTGCAATCACTTCTTTTTCATGCTTTTCTCTGAGGGATTTTAGGATATTTGCCTCTCCAGCATCAACCTGCTTGTTCGATGGAAGAAAGAAGAGCATGGAAAGAAGAAGCCTCTATTGCTCAAGGAAGCCTCTTGATCTTTTGCCAGCTGGACACCAGCTCTTCCGCCCTCGTTTGGATAAACACTCTGGGTTTGGTACTCAGACGGCTCCAGCCGATTCCTGTGACCCTGCATGAACCTGAGGAGCCTTCCCAGATGGGTCAATGACTCTAGAGCATAGCTCCTTGGTGAATGGGACTACCTAATCGCCAACAAGGAAACCTAGTGGCAGCTGGGAGTCTCCCAAGAGCTCACCAGAACTGCATATACTAGCCCTGGGCTTTTAACCTTTGGAAACCTTTGGAAATCCTCTTTCATTAGAATCCTGGCCATGGGCAGCCTGGGTGGCTCAGCGGTTTAGCGCCACCTTCGGCCCAGGGCCTGATCCTGGAGACCCGGGATCAAGTCCAACATCGGGCTCTCTCTCATGGATAAATAAACTCTTAAAAAAAAAAAAAAAGAAAAGAAAGAAGAAAGAATCCTGGCCATCCTCCTGGATAGGATTCAATTGAATACTAAAAATCTCAAAGACTGGTCCCCGCTGCTTTCCTCCAGCCATGGGGGTAGATGGTCTGGTCCTGGGAGTCCTGGTGAGGGTCCAATGCTAGGTAAGAGCCTCAGAAGACGCACCACATGGCCGATAAGCCATAGTCCAATCTAGAATTCTACAGCTCCTTTCCACTGAGATTTCCTTGAACTCTGGTCATCTGGGCCCTCTTCCGAAATGCAGTGTCGTGTTTTGCAGCACAAGTACTGTCTGAGGAGTAGGGTGAGATGCTTAGTGATTAGAGGAATCCCCATACTTCATCCCAAGTTTGATTTCCTTATTAGTAGAGAAGTCCTGCAGCATGGGAGTGGTCCTGGGAGCCGAGGGGGCCAAGTTTACCAAGTGGTGGTAAAATAGGGACTCGATCCAGAACAGAAGGGACTATTCTTGGCTATCTGCGTGAAGGGCAGAGGTCTCGAGTAAATCCTCAGGGTGCCATTTCTTCGTTCTCAAGGATTGGCCTTACTTAACAGCCACAAATCAATTTGCATTCCTTTACTTACCCAGGGCCACTCGATCATAATTCACACTATCACACTCCCATAAAACACTTCGTTTTCACTATTCTTCTATCTGACCGACACGTAAAATGTATACGATTTGGTGAAATTCCTGTGATCTGTGAATGCTGGGTACAGAGAAAGATCCAAGAAATATCCTCGAGTGTTAAGAAAAGTCCGCATCTATCTGGAAACCTTCTTGCTAATGGGCAGGCATTGTATTTTCTCAAGAAGAAAATAAAATGAGACCCCCGAAGGCAAAACTAGAGGTAAGGAGAGATTGACAGGCTTGCTTCTCCCTTCCCAACTCTGCTAATAATGGCCCTGAGACTGCTGAAGTTTGTGGTTTCATATTTACACATGATCATTCTTTACACAATTATATAGGATAGATACCCTTTAGGGGACACATTTGAGATGTACATAGTCTGTTCCCTTAAGCATTGAGGATGAATGTAGCTTCTAAGATTCTGGAATCCAGACCGGTTTTGTCTTCTCTGGATTACCAGGGGATCCCAAGGGGCCTAAACTACTAAAGAAGCTGCTGCGTCTCCTTACCCCGCAAATGCACACTCTGTCCCACCCCAAGATTAAATTGCACCCTGAGAAAGGAAAGAGCCCTACGTCGGGTGCTTATGGTTTTAGCATGGAGGTGAGCTCATTGGGGGTGGTGCTCACGTTTAACCAAATCTGCAGGAGCAAAAGGCTTACCTGCCTGGTGCCACAGTCCTGCTCCTCTGCCTCATTACCACCCACTAGCCATAGCTAGATTCCCTAATCCTTAATTCTAAATACGTCATCCATGAGCCTTGGAAGCTCTTCACTGTGACCTCACTTAAACTTCTGTCCTTCTCCCACAGGGATAGATATGTTGGGTCTTTGACTCAATTTGGATGTTCTATTAAGACAAGCATGTCTCATCTGCACTTTGCCTTATAAACTG